CGGTCCTGACTTTCCCAATGCCACCCTGGCAGCTGACTGAATCGGCACGCAGAATGATTTTTCCCCAACCAAAAAAAAAAAAAAGTTTCGCTATTTCATCCATTCCCTGCAAAATGGGACGTGGGGGTGTTCGCTATTCCTTCTGGTGAGACAGCATAGCAAGGTGGAAAGGACCCAGATTCTGGGACACTTGGGCTTGAATCCTGCACCTGCCTCGGCCACATTCAGCTGTCACCTGGACTGAGTTCCTAAACCTCCCTGAGCACCTGCTCCTTTGGGAAAACGGAGCTGATGCTAACGACCTTATAGGACCGTTGTGGGGAACAGATGCACTCACGATGCAAACTGCCTGGCAGAGGGCGAGCTCTCGGCAAATGGTAGTTGTCATATCACTACTTCATGGAATTTAAACTTCTCTCTCGCTTGTCGGGGTTGCAGGGACCCCGGGTGCCCTCTCTACTCCGTGGCATCTCTTACTCTGCTTGCCACGATAAAGACGGAAGCGTCCCTTCTTTGAGCTGTGACATCTGATCCAACAGTGTCCGTCCCCGTCCACACAGATGTTTGGCAAAACCCGATTCAGTGTACCGAGGAGGTGTTTTTAAGAGGCTGTCTCTGAGAACACATCGCTTCTAAAAGCTGGGACTTCCTGTACCTCAAAGACATCGACTGGGCTCTCGACGCAAAGCCTTTCACAACGCTTGACTTGGGCATATTCTGGGTCCCAAATTGACTGCACTGGAACGTCTATTTCTAAGAATTGCCAATCACACACCACACTTACATCTTCAGTCGCTGGCACAAATTAACTTTGACCGAGAATGAAGTAGTAACTGAAAGGTCAAAACAAATTACATTTGGAAAGTGTCGCATAGAGAAAAAGAAGCAAGACCACCACCACTGTTCTATGCATAGAAATGCTCCTATCGACGATAGAGTGCTTTCTTCCTGAAGGCTGTTCCTTCTTTCAACCTTAACTTTTCAGTTCAGAGTTGGGCTTGCAGGCATAGAATACCCTCCAACCCAAACGGAGGGGAATCTTTCAAGTCACCCACCACTCACTCGCTGACTGGAGTTGGGGAAATTACAGAATAAACCCCATTTCCACATCAGAAGAAAACAGAGCTATTTTTCAAGATCAATTACCCATGATAGTTTTAAAAATAGGAAGATGCACACTACCATATTACTATATATGTTACAGCTAAATAGCTCTTCAAAGGAGATCGTTAACAAATTACTATAAGACACTGAGCAGATATGTGTTCCGTGAATACAGAATAGCAAAAGCCATCCGTGCTACTTGTCCACAGTTAAACAGAACCTTCAAGCAACTGCACATGAAAGGAAACATCTTTCTCAACTCCCAGTGTATTTGCCACTAGACTGTAAGCCCCTTGAAGGAAGAGGCTGCGGCCAGGGTGGTCACAGTATCCCTCTGCTTGGCTCAGGGAAACACCTCTACAACCAGGTACTGAATTAATGGAATAAACAGTATCACACACCTTTTTCAGGACGGTCTAAAATGCTCCCGGAAACTTAGAAAGGCTCTTTGAAATGTTTTCAGACCTTCCTAGCATAGCGTGTGAATACTTGGAAAGGACAAGCTTTGTGACGGATGATCCCAAATTTTCAATGTCCGCTGAACAGAAATGAAACACCAGAGGAAAGATGGATTTTCGTGACTCAACCTCTTGCAAGTGTGTGTGACCTCAAGACAACTGAATTTCACTCTGTGCGGAAAAAGTTACAAGAGTAGTGAGCCCAGGGGAAAAGCTGCCTTGAACCCTCCAGGGCTTAAGATGCTGACCCTTTGTAGGCCTTGGCTTCTGAATTAGACCCTATTAAATAAAAGCGTTTCTTCTCTGACATGGCATAAAACAACTGGCATGCACACATGAATGAGCTGGGCCTGCACATCAGCTACATTAGCTCGACAAATGTTTCAGTAAACTAAAGCAGCTATATAATTTGAACAAATAGGCAACTTTTCCAGAATTTGCACTCATTGGTTCGTTAACTGAATAATGTGTCAGCCTAACAAAATGGTTGCCTCTTGCCATCTCAGAGAAGCAAAATCTCCCCAGGGTGGAACGTTCCATTTTCTGAGATTCTCCTGTAATAGGCAGGGGACTGCACACCCCGCACTTCATTGAAATTAGCTAGCTATTGCTTCACTCTGTTGCCTTTCTGTGCAAAACTGGGGAAAAGGCAAAGTAAGTGAAATAAGGAAGCACACAGAATACTCAGTGGCTTCAAATAATTAGCTGGAAAGAAAAGTCACTCAGGATAGACCAATGGCAAGTTTTATGCTTCCCATTTAGATACTGAAAATACAAAGCTAAACCTCTTTTTCAAGAATGCCCAAGACTGCTGATCACAGGGCTTACCCCAAAAATGAAGCTGAGACAGAAACTCTTATCAGAAAACATGTTACCTGTATCCTTTACCAAAGAGCGAAATCCCCCCAGGCTTTTGAGTCATGATGCTGAGGCAGTTCAACATGAAATTAACTTGCTTACCAGAGCTAGAAATCCCCCCAACCTCTCACCCCCAACCCAAAATCGAGCAGGTAGGCCACTAACTGCTATACAGTCGTGGAGAAAAAACGTGCAAGATGTTTTACCTCATAATCTCTATGTACCAGAATCCTAACACAGCACAAGGAGTGGCAGTTACTATGTAAATGGTCACAGCACAAAACTAAAGCCAGTTGAGATAAACTCAAAACAAATTGGAATCTCTGGAGGAGGTTCCAATGGCCTAATTCGAGTCTATTTAAAAACAAAACAGCAACAGAATAACAATTACTGAAGAGCCGCTTCCTAAAATTACTCTCCTGTTGATATGTCTCAGTTCTAAAATGTCATGAGAAATCTGCTGGCAGGTCACTGATTCTGCCCTAAAAGAAAGCATTACCAAAGAATGCCACCGAAAACAAAGGCCTTCACACAAGTAAGTGAATACCCTAAGCACGTAAGTATGTTCTTAAGAGGGACATTGAAAAAAGCAGAAGTCATAGTAAGTTCAAAACACCAAGAAAAAAAAATGAACAGCAGTTCCTAATTTTAGTAATATTATATGTCACCCTCCCCCCTCAAAAAAAACTGTCCATGAGTTAAGATTTGTTGATTTTACATATAGACACTTTATATATTTGGGACTCCCTGCCCTTAAGGAAGAAAAAGAGGAAAAGAAATTAAGCACTATATATGACATTTATAGAAATGTAGAGGGTTATTTTTTTTAAATGAAATTCAGGTTTCACTTGGGGGTTACTGTTTTACAGTTTCCCACTTGCCAGAAATTTTAAACAGCACTGATCATCAGCAAGCTTCAGATATGTTAAAGTCTGGAACAGGAGTGTTGCTTTCACAACACTCCAAAAGGCCTCCACTCTTCCCTTACTTTCCCTGCTTGTCTTCACTCATCAAAGTAGGTTTTTCCCTGCAAAATGTAAAAGAGGCAGGGGCTATGAAGGGCAAGCGAGACAAAAAACACCCAGGAAGCACGTGTTCGTTTACACAATTTGACTTTTCACAACAAATAACGCAAAGGGAAAGATATTTTCTATATCGTAGGGCTTGGACTCAGGGATTTGTAAAAATAATCTGATGATCCCTCAGCATGACAAGAAAGATGCTTTTTTTCTTACGTCAAGGTAACATTTAAGCAATCTTAGATGTATATGACACTTGAAGAACTGATGCTTTCAAATGGAGAACAGCTTTGGTTTTAGATTCCAATACATTACAAAAATTCATGGTCTTAAATTCACCATAAAGAAGATGCCTCTTTTTATCATCAATCGACCAAGAGCTATTTAGTGTCAAGGAGACACATCTGCTGTACCCCTCATGATGCTGTTAATTAGGAAAGCTAAGGGGAAAAAAAATCCAACGCTAATCCTTTGATACACTATTTGAAACTCACTATTAATCTGATGCATGATATTTTCTGGGGTGGTGCCAATGATATGAACTAATCAAGCCGTTTACTACTTCATCAATAATAAATCATTTTTAAGACAAAAATTACAACTTGGTATGGACCTCACCAAGACCCTCGCCAATTCAATCGGCCCCTTTGCCGGTAATTTAAACAACAAATTCCTGCCTGGAATCACCCATTCAACATGCGTTTTTAAGTGAGTCCCATTTCAACCTTTTAATAAAGTGCCACCAGTGGATCTGTCACCAGGTGACACACTTAGTACCAAAAAGAAAATCGGGTGGGTCAGAATCCACTCCTTACTGCCTGGAGGCACCAAAGAGAAAAGGAGTGCAGGAAGCTGACTGGACTGGTGGACCTCAAGGGGAGCAAGCACTGAAAACACCAATTTAAGTGCCTGGGGCAAAAGGCAACTCGCCTGCACTCCCTAGCTAAGGCGCCCAGAGGGAGCTGAGGGGAGGCCGTTGCTGGAATAGGGGACAGAACAGAAACTAGGGAAGGAACGACCGGGATGGAGCACAAGGGAAAGACAAGCATGGGGCAGAAGGAGGGACAGGGATGGGGCAGGCAGGGGACCATATGTTGGGGCTGGAGAGGAGGGCAGGGATGACAGAGATGGGGCCAGGGATAGGGATGGAGCTGGAAGGACAGGGATGGGGCAGGAAGGAACCACAGCAATGAAATAGGGAGGACTACAGGGATGGAGCTGGACCGAGAGGCAGAGATGGGGCAGGAAGGGGCGACAGGGATGGAGCTGGTCCAGCGAAGTCACAACCACATCCTCACCACACCTCGCTGGGGCGCTCGCTACGCGCCACGCGCCGCGCTGGGCACTTCGGGGCGCTCTCTCCCGGAGTCCCCCCAACAGCCCTCCGATGCCCCATTTCAGAGACGGGAACGGCGAGGCCGGCCCTGCAGCGCCCGCTCCCCGAGGTTGCCGGCCGAGGGGGCAGCGGCGGCTGAGCGCCCGACCCTCCCGGACGCAGGGTGTCGCTGGCGGCCACGGGGGGCGGCAACGCGGGGGGCGGCGCGGGCCGGGGAGCCGGTACCTGGGCTCGGGCAGGACGATCTTCTTGCTGGCGCGGGCGGCCGGAGTCGCCTTGCTCTTCTCCATCGCCATCAGGTAGCTGACATCGGCCAGCACGGCCTCCAGGTCCGCCATGTTGGCGAGCGGCGGCGGCGGCTCCTCAGGACCCGGACGGGACGCGCTCCCGCCGCCGCCGCCCGCCGCGCCCCGACGTGGGGGGGCCGCCCCGGGGCAGCCCCCCC